GTGTTCAGTTAGACTCTCCAAAAATGATAGGTGTCTAATCGGTGTTGTGTACCGACCTCTCGCATCTTCAGACTCAGCCAGCGAGATTTTGCCGCAAACCATGAGGAATGCGTTAGCACTAAAGTTCACACACGCCCTCATAATGGGTGACTTTAACTGCCGCAATCTCATAAGAACGAGGACTTCCCGCCAGACATTCGAGAGCCAATTATCTCAGTTGATTGGATTGCACCCACTGCACAACCACGTAGCAGAACCCACCAGATTTGGAGCAGGTCACGAACCATCAACACTGGATTTAGTGCTGACTAACGAGGAGCTGATGGTGGAATCTGTCAGTGTCACGTCTCCACTAGTGATTATGCCGTATTGAAGTTTGATTATGTAGGCTACGCCTCTACCCAAGAAGACCGAAAGAGCAGTACTCGTGTCATCATAGACTACAAAATGCTGCAAAACCTGGCAATACTTAAGCAATAGGTCCTCCCAGAAGATGACCACGATCCTTTTGATGGCATGCAAGAGCTTCACTGATTATCTTACCGAAATTGTAATGGCTGCAACAAGTATAAAAACTTGTGCTAAATCTAAAACTCGTCATTCATTCATTCGCAGCCGAACAAAGAAATGGATAGAGCAAAGGAACTTTTCCTGGAGAGAGTACAGAAGATGTCTCTTCTATTCCTGTGAATGAGTTAGCTTTAAAGCTTTCAAAGTATTATGTAACTTCCTGTGTGAAATTTGCTGAGAGGATTCTCACAGATCCTAACCACACTATACACAGAACTGACACGATGTCGTTCCCGTCATTCAACACGCTCCCAATTCCGCCAGATTTCATCCCGAATTAACGCTTACCGCAATTCACCCAAAGCGTACCTTGCTCGTCTACTTACAAATAAAGTACGGACAATAAGTGAACTTTGTCTTAACCTTCGGTTATGAGATATCCTCGTCTGTGAAAATGTTTTCATAGTTTGCTATGTACATTGTGACGGTTAGCGTGTATGATTTGTAACTGAAATGTGAGCTCCATTACTTGCAAAGTTATGCACAATGCAATACTATATCAGATATCAGAGGTTTGAAGGTGTTTTAAGGCATCCAAAGCTGCGCGATGAAATCTAATAAACACAGAAATCATCATACCTAAAGCAGACTTCATCGCGGAGCATCAATAGAGGAAGGCAATTTACTCATTGACTGAACAATAAGTCTATAGTGCCCCCTCCCACACACACAGAAGAGGGTTGAAAACAATCGTCCGTTTGGCTTACCCAGTGTGTTGTGCAAAGGACTAAAAAATCCAGTTAGAACAAACCAAGTGGAACATCTGGAGCGGAACATGCTCATAACTGATACATAATGGTTTTATGAAGCAGTGCTCTTGCCTCGTGAAAGATATTACCCCAAAGGTGACCGAGGGTAAGACTTCGGCAAGGCTTTTGGTTCAGTAAATCATAGCCTATTAGAAAGAATGAGACTTGGAAGAAACCTGATAAAAGCCTTCAGAACCATAACAAGGTTGTTGAAGATGCAGGCCAAACATAAGCAAGCATTTTCTAGCATTATATTAGTCAACAGTTAACACCAGTTTCCAAAGGAAATCGCCCACCACTGCAAGCATACAAAGTGTTTTGGATGTCATTCCGTCCAGGTAAAGTTCACGGTGACGTGAACATTATATTTCAAACTGTTTGGTTCTGTTGGTCAATTACAATACTGTAATATTTCAAATGGGAATTCGTCGTGT